AATAAACCTGAATGTATCTTCTAATACTTGTAAGAAGGTATGTGAGCTTCATTGGCTATGATGAAGTAGGATAAATGTTTTGTGTTCTGGTCTTGTCTGTTTCTTGCGACCTAATTTGAATGACGTACATGTATTTTCAGACTCGACTCCATAGGAATCTACTTTGTGATGTTCTCTGAGGTAGTTCAGTCACTGATGAAGGTAAGAAATCTGCAAGCTACTGGTGAATTATATAATTATGCACTTAGGTTTCAATTTCAGGTATTTTCTTCAAATCATTAATTTTGAAATAATTTCATTTTCTAAATGTAGACAATATGAAAAAAAGATCAGTATGTCCTACTGTTTCTGTTAGGATCACTGCCTCATTGCACTATCAAATCTCTTTTTGTTTATTTCATCAATTTTTTGTCTAAAAGTATTGCTTTCTTTTAAGAAGTGATTTATTAATACTATTGCATTAAAATTCATACATGGTACACAAGGGCAGCATTAACAGAAATTCCTTGGTTAATTTGGCAAAAATGAGTTTCTGGATTTTTATTGTTAAGCGTAATTGAAAAAATATGAATTTATTTTTGTAAATATATGTCCCATTTTTCATGTCCTGAAACCGACTAATGCTTTAATGTTCTTATTATGTGTTGTAAAATGGAAAACTAAAGTGCTCTTCAACTATGTTCACTAATTGTCAAATGTAGCTTGGAGAGGTGAAATATAGGATACTAAAATTAGACATTTTGCCTGTTATATACAGAGTTATGGCCCTTTGTTAATTCTTGATACCGAAGTATGCATAGCTTTCACCCATGTTTTTACCAATGTTTCTGTATCATTGCAGTTTTTCCTCATATTCTTTTTCTGTAACAGGTGATGTCAGTGTTGCTGTTATTCCTCCTATCCTTTGCCAGTGCCTTTGGTATCACCATGGCTCAAACAGTAAGTGTCTCAAGTCTTCAGTAAGTGTTTCAAGTCTACAGTAAGGGTCCCAAGTCTACGGTAAGTGTCCCAAGTCTACAGTAAGTGTCTATGAGAAGTGTTTTAAGTCTACAGTTAGTGTCCCAAGTCTACAGTAAGTGTCCCAAGTCTACAGTAAGTGTCCATAGTCTGCAGTAAGTGTCCATAGTCTACAGTAAGTGTCCATAGTCAACAGTAAGTGTCCCAAGTCTGCAGTAAGTGTCCCAAGTCTGCAGGTAGTGTCCATAGTCTACAGTTACTGTCCCANTCTACAGTTAGTGTCCATAGTCTACAGTAAGTGTCCCAAGTCTACAGTAAGTGTCCATAGTCTACAGTAAGTGTCCGAAGTCTACGAGAAGTGTCCCAAGTCTACAGTAAGTAAGTGTCCCAAGTCTTCAGTAAGTATTCCAAGTCTGCAGTAAGTGTCCATAGTCTACAGTAAGTGTCCCAAGTCTACAGTAAATGTCCCAAGTCTGCAGTAAGTGTCCATAGTCTACAGTAAGTGTCCATAGTCTACAGTAAGTGTCCCAAGTCTACAGTAAGTGTCCACAGTCTACAGTAAGTGTCCATAATCTAAAGTAAGTGTCCATAGCCTACGAGAAGTATCCCAAGTCTACAGTAAGTGTCCATAGCCTATGAGAAGTGTCCCAAGTCTACAGTAAGTGTCCATAGCCTACGAGAAGTGTCCCAAGTCTACAGTAAGTGTCCCAAGTCTACAGTTAATGTCCGAGGTGTAGACTTATTGCCCTATGTTTCCTGCTTCACTTTATCGACGGCTCTCATTTACTGTAGTAAGCTTATAGCACTATGCATGCTAAAATCAGGCCTTGAACTCCACTTTATACAGAGTAATGGCACAATTTTTCAACCATAAATATCTCTGTCTCAGGCATTTTCAATGAACTGTGTCACCTTCAATTCCCACTTTGGTGTGTATACTAATATCAGGTCTTGTGTTTTACCTCATCCACAGTTCTGGCCCTTAGTTCACCTTACATCACTTTGGTGTGTATACTAATATCAGGTCTTGTGTTTTACCTCATCCACCGTTATGGCCCTTTGTTCACCTTACATCACGTTGGTGTGTATACTAATATCAGGTCTTATGTTTTACCTCATCCACAGTTATGGCCCTCAGTTCACATTACATCACTTTGGTGTGTATACTAATACCAGGTCTTTTGTTTTACCTCATCCACAGTTATGGCCCTCAGTTCACCTTACATCACTTTGGTGTGTAAACTTATTTCAGGTCTTGTGTTTTACCTCATCCACAGTTATGACCCTTTGTTCACCTTACATCACTTTGGTGTGTAAACTTATTTCAGGTCTTGTGTTTTACCTCATCCACAGTTATGGCCCTTTGTTCACCTTACACACTTTGGCTAGGCATATCTCAATTTACCTATAGTTGCCGAATTTTATACGTACCTCTTGAGATGACAGAGTGTCACATACCTGTACTTAAATCAGGTGTAGTGCCCCATTTCTACAGAATCATGTTCCTTAGCTCACAACACATCACTACATTGTATGTCTGAGTTGGTGTCACATAAAAAACGTAGGTCTTGTGCCCAACTGTCTCAAAGGTTTTTGGCTTTTCCAAATTTTCTATACAGAAATTTGTCAGAACCTGGGGACGATGCCTCTGAATTAATATATGTGCTAAATGTGAGTGCTGTATTAGTATTAGATATTAAAAAGTGCACTTAATTATATTACAAACATGACTTTTAGAGAACACTTAGGTGGATATATTTGAGTGATATTTTTTTGGCCTTTTAATCATCAAGCATGGTTTGAAATTTGGGTCAGCCAGAAGTAAAAAAAACCAGTGGTAAATACAAAGTTGGAATATACTTTATATTTCATTAAATTGATTGGGTGCTTGGGTGTGCTGAAGATCCTGACAGATCTGTAGATATAATGCTCAATACATGAACAATCACTAATGCTGAATTTTTCTTATATATCTAATGACTGATGATGATATTACAGCCCGGTCTCACACCAGATAGTTGGTATCCAATGACCGTCCTGTCCATGACCCTTGGTGAACTCAACTTTGTCAGTAACTACGCGAGTGAGACCAATGCTCCGTTTGTAGTAGACAACATGCTTCTGATGACCATGTTTATGGTCATAATGCCGATAGGTCTCATGAACCTGCTGGTAAGTCTTAACATACAAGTACATAATGTCTACTCAAACTGCAGGTAAGATGTCCTGTAACTGACAGCAACAATTTGTTTATAAAGTTACTATAACCCTTCAGCAAGTAGCACTACACAGGTTGGCTTTGATGAATTAGCATACATAGTTTGTAACATCAGCAAAGTGCTGCACCTTTTAGGACTTATTATTAATTCTATTATGATGATTCAAAAAAAGATTCTAGCAGTAAATATCACTAGAAGGTGCAGATTTCACCAAGCTAACAGTTTCAGGAATTGGATTTCACCAAGCTGTTTCAGGAATTATTGAGGACCTTGGACACAGTAAAGCAAAGTCCTGTTTTTGGGGTTGGATATAAGATTTATCAATATTGTTAAGCACATATATTTTGTTTACAATACTCATGTTTAATGTTTGAAAGATATCATTAAATGATTTTATTTCCAAACTTTCTGTTTTATTGTTGTAGGTAGGTATTGCTGTAGGTGATATAGACAAGATACAGAAGGAGGCCTACCTGACCCGTCTCTCACTGCAGGTAATTAAAGCTTTCCTAATGTACCCAGTTCATATACCAACATATCTGAGCCAGGCTTAATCCTTAACTTACAACAATTCAAATAACTTGTTTTCACATTTATATTTAATATTTGTTTTCCATCAAAAGAGGACACACAGATATTTGCTAATATAATGTCACCTCATTGTTTTGTGTTGGTAGATACAAATGCTTTGTTCATATGAAGCCACATTCCCCAGAATCATTCAGAGAAAACTATACAAAAGGAGGTTTGAGATGAAACCAAACATGGAGAGTCAGTCGTGCTGGAATCAGGTAAGTACTTATACAGGTCTCACTAGACTGTAGTTACTGTGTAGGTAATCAACACTCATCTTTCACCGTACTCATCAGACTGTAGTAATTGTACGTGTAGGTAATCAACAGTAGTTAGAGCACTCATCTTTTACCGTACTCATCAGACTGTAGTAATCGTGTAGGTAATCAACGGTGGATAGAGCACTCATCTTTCATCGTACCCATCAGATTGTAGTAATCGTGTAGGGAATCAACAGTGGATAGACCACTCATCTTTCACCGTCCTCATCAGACTGTAGTAATCGTGTAGGGAATCAACAGTGGATAGACCACTCATCTTTCACCGTCCTCATCAGACTGTAGTAATCGTGTGGGTAATCAACAGTGGATAGACCACTCATCTTTCACCGTCCTCATCAGACTGTAGTAATCGTTTAGGTAAGCAACGGTGGATAGAGCACTCGTCTTTCACCGTACTCATCAGACTGTAGTAATCGTGTAGGTAATCAACAGTGGATAGAGCACTCATCTTTCACCGTACTCATCAGACTGTGGTAATCATGTAGGTAATCAACGTTGGATAGAGCACTCACCAAGATGGCAAGGGGTTGATACTCTGATCAGATGTGAGAACTTAGGGTCACTTGCTTGACCAGGAAGATTTCATCTGTGTTTTTCAGTTTCCTCCTATTTTAAGATCTCGTACAAGCTGTTATCCCAGCCATTAATAGTGACTGATAAAGGTGATAAATAAATCCTGTTTCAACATTGTTGTAAAATACATTAAAGTTGAGTTCAAATATTGAAATTGATATATCTTTCTAGTTCAAGAAGAAGCTTTTAAAAGTGGAAAACAATGAGAAATATTTAGAAGAGGACAGCAATGATCCTATGTCAGAAATGCTCAGCCAAATAAAACATGACATGAGGAAGCAAAAGGCCATGTAAGTTTTTCAGGTTTTTTCTTCAAATAATTAGCCATTTTAATAATGTGTATCCTTCCATGCATACACTTGTTTGTATGTATATGTATCTGATTGTTTTTTTACTCTGTTGTTAGGTTACAATAGAATGACACACTCTGTTGTTAGGTTACAGTAGAATGACACACTCTGTTGTTAGTTTACAATAGAATGACACACTCTGCTGTCAGATTACAATAGAATGACACACTCTGTTGTTAGGTTACAATAGAATGACACACTCTCTTGTTAGGTTACAGTAGAATGACACACTCTGTTGTCAGTTTACAATAGAATGACACACTCTGCTGTCAGGTTACAATAGAATGACACACTCTGTTGTCAGGTTACAATAGAATGACACACTCTGTTGTCAGATTACAATAGAATGACACACTCTGTTGTCAGATTACAATAGAATGACACACTCTCTTGTCAGGTTACAATAGAATGACACACTCTGCTGTCAGGTTACACTAGAATGACACACTCTGTTGTCAGGTTACAATAGAATGACACACTCTGTTGTCAGTTTACAATAGCATGACACACTCTGTTGTCAGATTACAATAGAATGACACCCTCTGCTGTCAGGTTACAATAGAATGGCACACTCTGTTGTTAGGTTACAATAGTATGACACACTCTGTTGTCAGGTTACAATAGCATGACACTGGTGTCAGGTTACAATAGAATGACACTCTCTGCTGTCAGGTTACAATAGAATGGCACACTCTGTTGTTAGGTTACAATAGAATGACACTGTTGTCAGGTAACAATAGAATGACCCACTCTCTTGTCAGGTTACAATAGAATGTCACACTCTGCTGTCAGGTTACACTAGAATGACACCCTCTGTTGTCAGGTTACAATAGAATTACACACTCTGCTGTCAGGTTACAATAGAATGGCACACTCTGTTGTCAGTTAACACTAGAATGACACTGATGTCAGGGTACAATAGAATGACACACTCTGTTGTCTGGTTACAATAGAATGACACTGTTGTCAGGTAACAATAGAATGACACACTCTCTTTTCAGTTTACAATAGAATGACACACTCTGCTGTCAGGGTACAATAGAATGACACACTCTGCTGGCAGGTTGCAATAGAATGACACACTCTGTTGTTAGGTTACAATAGTATGACACACTCTGTTGTCAGATTACAATAGAATGACACGCTCTGTTGTCAGCTTACAATAGAATGACACACTCTGTTGTTAGGTTACTATAGAATGACACACTCTGTTGTCAGGTTCCAATAGAATGACACACTCTGTTGTCTGGTTACAATAGAATGACACTGTTGTCAGGTAACAATAGAATGACACACTCTCTTGGCAGGTTACAATAGAATGACACACTCTTTTGTCAGGTTACAATAGAATGACACACTTTTCTTCAAATAATTAGCCATTTTAATAATGTGTATCCTTCCATGCATACTCTTGTTTGTATGTATATGTATCTGATTGTTTTTTTACTCTGTTGTTAGGTTACAATAGAATGACACACTCTACTGTCAGGTTACAATAGAATGACACACTTTTCTTCAAATAATTAGCCATTTTAATAATGTGTATCCTTCCATGCATACTCTTGTTTGTATGTATATGTATCTGATTGTTTTTTTACTCTGTTGTTAGGTTACAATAGAATGACACACTCTTTTGTCAGGTTACAATAGAATGACACCCTCTGCTGTCAGGTTACACTAGAATGACACCCTCTGTTGTCAGGTTACAATAGAATTACACACTCTGCTGTCAGGTTACAATAGAATGGCACACTCTGTTGTTAGGTTACAATAGTATGACACACTCTGTTGTCAGGTTACACTAGAATGACACACTCTGCTGTCAGGGTACAATAGAATGACACACTCTGTTGCCAGCTTACAATAGAATGACACACTATGTTGTCAGGTTACAATAGAATGACACTGTTGTCAGGTAACAATAGAATGACACACTCTCTTGTCAGTTTACAATAGAATGACACACTCTGCTGTCAGGTTGCAATAGAATGACACACTCTGTTGTCAGGTTACAATAGAATGACACACTCTGTTGTCAGGTTACAATAGAATGACACACTCTGTTGTCAGTTTACAATAGAATGACACACTCTGCTGTCAGGTTACAATAGAATGACACACTCTGTTGTCAGTTTACAATAGAATGACACACTCTGTTGTCAGGTTACAATAGAATGACACACTCTGTTGTCAGTTTACAATAGAATGACATACTCAGCTGTCAGATAACAATAGAATGACACACTCTGCTGTCAGATTACAATAGAATGACACATTCTGTTGTCAGGTTACAATAGAATGACACACTCTGTTGTCAGTTTACAATAAACTTACATTGTTGCCAGGTTGTAATTTATTCTTAAAATTTTATTGCCAGGTTACTTTAGAGTTAAACTGTTTGTTGCCAGGTTGCTATAGACTTACACTGTTTGTTGCCAGGTTTCTATATACTTACAATTTTGTTGCCAAGTTGCTATAGACATAACCTTTTGTGCCAAGTTGCTAAAGACTTAACTTTTTGTTGCCAGGTTGCTAGACTTACACTTTTTGTTGCCAGGTTGCTATGGACTTAACTTTTTGTTGCCAAGTTGCTATGGGCTTAACTTTTTGTTGCCAAGTTGCTATGGACATAACTTTTTGTTGCCAAGTTGCTATGGGCTTAAATTTTTGTTGCCAAGTTGCTATGGAATTAACTTTTTGTTGCCAAGTTGCCATGGACTTAACTTTTTGTTGCCAGGTTTCCATAGACTTTCACTGTTTGTTGCCAAGTTGCTATGGGCTTAAATTTTTGTTGCCAAGTTGCTATGGTCTTAACTTTTTGTTGCCAGGTTGCTAGAGTTACACTTTTTGTTGCCAGGTTACCATAGACTTTCACTGTTTGTTGCCAGGTTACCATAGACTTTCACTGTTTGTTGCCAAGTTACCATAGACTTAACTGTTTGTTGCCAAGTTGCTATGGGCTTAACTTTTTGTTGCCAAGTTGCTATGGACTTAACTTTTTGTTGCCAGGTTACCATAGACTTTCTCTGTTTGGGGCCAAGTTACCATAGACTTAACTTTTTGTTGCCAGGTTACCATAGACTTTCTCTGTTTGGGGCCAAGTTACCATAGACTTAACTTTTTGTTGCCAGGTTTCCATAGACTTTCACTGTTTGTTGCCAAGTTGCTAGAGACTTACACTGTTTGTTGCCAGGTTTCTATATACTTACAATTTTGTTGCCAAGTTGCTATAGACATAACTTTTTGTTGCCAAGTTGCTTTGGACTTAACTTTTTGTTGCCAGGTTTCCATAGACTTTCACTGTTTGTTGCCAAATTGCTATAGACTTAACTTTTTGTTGCCAGGTTACTATAGACTTTCACTGTTTGTTGCCAAATTGCTATAGACTTAACTTTTTGTTGCCAGGTTACTATAGACTTTCACTGTTTGTTGCCAAATTGCTATAGACTTAACTTTTTGTTGCCAGGTAACCATAGACTTTCACTGTTTGTTGCCAAATTGCTATAGACTTAACTTTTTGTTGCCAGGTTACTATAGACTTTCACTGTTTGTTGCCAAGTTGCTAGAGACTTACACTGTTTGTTGCCAGGTTTCTATATACTTACAATTTTGTTGCCAAGTTGCTATAGACATAACTTTTTGTTGCCAAGTTGCTATGGGCTTAAATTTTTGTTGCCAAGTTGCTATGGACTCTACTTTTTGTTGCCAAGTTGCTATGGATTTAACTTTTTGTTGCCAAGTTGCCATGGACTTAACTTTTTGTTGCCAGGTTACTATAGACTTTCACTGTTTGTTGCCAAGTTGCTAGAGACTTACACTGTTTGTTGCCAGGTTGCTATAGACTTACACTTTTTGTTGCCAGGTTGCTACAGATGCAGGCGGCCCAGAAACAACAGCAGGAGATGATGAGGCAGATCTGCAGTCATCTAGACGTCAGTGTGTCACTTAGTCGTCTGTCACCTGTTGACTCTGTCCGCTCAGATATGCTGAGTAGAATGGACATTTCATAAACAATTGCTAGTACCGAGATATTTTGAATGTTTCCTTCCATATTATTGCTGGGTCGATTGCCGGTAACCAAGTGGCTCAATTATTCAGAGCGTCCATCTAGTTTCCAGAGGGTCCCGAGTTAAAATACTGATGTCGCTGTGCATTTTCCCCATTCATTAGTGTCTTCTGGGTCAAACAATTTGTTGAAGGAATTAGGAATGTAGCAGAATTGGCCTGGGTCAATTGCCATCAACCTGGTAGGCTCAATTGGTTGGAGTATCACTCTCAGGGTCACAGATTTGAAGTCAGGTCTGAAAGTGCATTTTTCCTTTCGTGTTTCATATGAATCAGCCTCAGTATATTATGTGCTTTGTTGGGTGGGTATTCTGATCCAATGTACTTGACACATGGACAACATTGATGTATATAACATAGATATAACAACTCAGTACAATGTTCAGAAATGCATGCATAAGTAGCGAGCTATCTTCCCATTTTGTTGGCCCGTCAGATATAAGGGTAATGAGGGGAGGTAACTCTGATAGAATATGTCTATAACTGCTATATAAACATGCAATATCAAGATCAGCTACTGTATAATTTTGGTTAATATTCCATGAGGTCACACCATCAAGGAAAGGTTAGATATAAAACCTTTAAAATATGAACATCTTCTGTAAACTATGACATCACATAATATTGTGTTGGAGAAAAGTATTTAACAAATATTGATACTTACACTTTTCAAGGTGTGAACTATCCTTGTCTCACTCCAGTGCCGAGATGATTTCCCTGTATAACATTTGTATTACAGAAGTTCAACCAGGCATAAATGCCACTTCAACACTGTACTGGTCACAAAACATCAACGTTGCATTTATTATAGGGCCAACAGGGTAAAAAAGAAAGAATCATTCATGTCCTCTGGAACTACATGTATCTCAAACCCAAAGGGGTGAAAGATTCTCTCAATCTGTAATTAGAGCATTGATCGAGTATCCTTGAATTGTCTCCCCTGTTTTATGATACTGAAGGGTGTTACTTTAGCTAGTATTCAAACCTAGGTATCAGTATAAATATACATGGTGTCGGATATATCTATACCTGTTACTTGTATTGTTGATATATTTTCTATATATTGTTATATACTATTGGTGCAATAATGCAGTCATTGTAGACTTACACATGTACTTGTATCTTTATATTTCCTCAGAAATAAACTTTTGCTCTAAATTATTCCATCAATTTCTGTTTTTTTGTTCTTAAAAAAGTATGTACCTTTAAGTTATCCAAAAGGAATAAGATGATTTGTACATAATGGCAGAAATGTACATTCCCCATTTTGAAACTTGTTCCAATGTTTCCCCTTGGTAGACTTGTTTCTTCAATCTCATATGAAAAGTTAAAAAAATGAGATTATGTCATTCCACTGCAAGTTTGATGTCATTTTAATTCATTTTGCTGAACTTTGTTTTAAAGTTTAAATATTTTATCTATTTGTATTGCTGTGTCCTATATAATTTAAAATTTTATTCAAATTTTAACTAATATTATAGCTTTAAACTTTGGCTTTATGTAATATTGACAAAGTGTCATCAAAATCTGGTCACACTTAATAAAGGTACTGTGCAGAAACTATCAACAAATGAGCGTGGAGATTGCTGCTTTATTATACAAGTATGCAGATTTTACTCAACTACAAGTATAGCTTTATTCATTGTATATTGTTCACGCTTACTACTGCTGACATTTTTCATCAAAATAAAATACAGATAACTGACACTCCTCATAGCACCAAATGTTTTACTGTTGTATAATTATCCATTGAAAGAAAACTGATGGAGCTGAATTTTATTTCTGTTTTTTATTTTTCCTAAAACGGAATTAGGAACTTGGGTTCATAGTTAAAAAAAAACAAAGCACAAGTTAACAAAACATACTGTTTATTGATAAATATTTGAGTGTGTACAAGGACGATTCTCTTGGTGTACTCCTACCATACAGGTTACAGTTAGGTAGATAACGAGCCCCTGTGTAGACGTCATGGCGAACTCAGATGAACTTGCTGACATTCGGTTTATGCAGCGACTCCGTTAAATAATTCACATTTCGTGCTGATATTTAAACATTTTAAAATCACATCATCATTGAGTGACCTATCACCCACCATCAATCACATGGATATTGAGTCAGGTGCTTGATTCAAGACTTAATAGTCAGTACAAATAAGAGTCACTGGATAGAGGACTTATTATCACTCCAATCAAGGGCCAACTTGTTAAGTCTACAACCAAGGGTTGACTTTTTTTAATTACTACAACCAAGGGTTGACTTTTTTTAATCACTACAACCAAGAGTTGACTTTTTTTAATCACTACAACCAAGAATTGACTTTTTGTTAATCACTACTACCAAGAATTGACTTTTTGTTAATCACTTCTACCAAGAGTCACTGGATAAAGCAAATACAGCTGCATACATCAACACAGATCTGTAAGTGTTAACACTTAGTCTTACATCAGTATAATTCAAAAGACATGACATATTGATGTATAATCAGAATATACATATAACTTAATAGGTTCAAGCATTTATGGAATGAAAATAAAACTCACACTGCGTATAAGTACTTGAATAAGAGGTACACATACTAGGATTTTAATAGAAATAAAAACTTAACATAGTAAAATCAGATGGCAGTTCATCTGTGCTACAAATATGCATCTTGATATATGCATTATGAATGTAGTTTCCATTTGTCACGGTTATTTTATTTCCTTTCAGAAAACTTTTGGCAAAAGAAAATGACATACTAGATTTTGTCATGTTTTGATAGGAATGAATAAGGAAATATACATGTGCCTTTGACCAGCAGCATTTCAGGATTGGATATTAAAGCACATCAAAATACAGTGAGATTACCTCCTATCAGTTTTGAATGTAATACAACAAAATGTCCATATTGCTTTGAAATACTGAACATGAGGGAGAACCCATCTTGAAGTACTGGCTTTGTGGATATACTGGATTTGCACAAGATCATTTGACCTGTATTTTGACCTCTGACATACTTTGTGGATATCCTGGATTTGCACAGGATCATTTGACCTATATTTTGATCTCTGACCTCCTTTGTGGATATCCTGGATTTGCACAAGATCATTTGACCTGTATTTTGATCTCTGACCTACTTTGTGGATATCCGGGGTTTGCACAGGATCATTTGACCAATATTTTGATCTCTGACCTACTTTTTGGATATCCGGGATTTGCACAGGATCATTTGACCTGTATTTTGACTTCTGATCTACTTTGTAGATACCGTGGACTTGCAAAGGATCATTTGACCTGATTTTAGACCTTTGACCTCTCTTTTGTAAAATAAGGTTCAGGCCATATCTACTGTATAAAACATAACCAACTCACTTTGTCCTTAAGTTTGATCTCACACTTAGTGACAAGTTGTATTCTAAGTTATTTGTTCCCGCATGCACATGATATTGTACAGCAGAAGTTTTCCACAACCAGTTTTTCTGTGATTGTGGTCAGAGGTCAATATAATGTTACATACTTGTTTCTGCTCATTATTAAATTTTACAAATTAGGGCATTGATGAATGTTGAAATAGAGAACAATACATAGGAACTTTGACTGGCACAATCATAACTTAGTATTATGTTTATCTGAAGTGCTAAAATGAGAGTACCACTAAAATAGGTACATTTAAAGTATACATGGTATAGGTATTCACTATTGGCACATGACACTCCATCTACATGTACCCACATACGAAGTCGATCAGAGCAAGATAAATGCTTCAATTACTGTTTTCTTTGATTGAGGTCAGAGGTCAAAATAAAGGTTCCAGTGACCTACTTTTGTTATGTGATTCTCTGTCTTCCCTTCATCATACAAACTAAATGTGATGATCTTACATAAAATAATGTAGGAAAATGCTTCAAAAACATAGTTTGAGATTACCATACCATAAATTGCATGATTACTTTTAGTACAATCCATTTCCTGTATATGATGGACACACATACACAATGTACTAAGTTTGATTACCCTTCAAAAAATAAGATAAACAACCCAGAATCCTTTCTGATGGTCAGACCTACATGTATGAACACTTGGGACAATATAGGATGCACAAAGCAAATACTGTATACTTCTGACCTCATTGAAATCGAGATATGTCACAGGGAGGTTGTAAATATGTTAAAAATTAAAGGCTAGAGTCTGCTATTACCAATAGGTTCAATGACATAGTCAATATGATGAGATGGCTTTCTGGGATAAAAAAAGAAATTTAGCTGTTTTCTTTTTATTCCAAATTAGACACAAGTGCCTGCCTGTGTTAATTTATTTCATAAAATCTGTCTTCTTTTCTAAATGTATCCTTTATTTCCAATTTGTTTTATGATGTGCCCATAAATTTAGGTTGCAACAAGTAGTGAAACAAAGCAAAATTTGTGACAATTATGTTATATAAGTTTTGTGCGTGTGAAATTAATTATACTTTGGTTTATTTTCTATATATGCAAATCATATCTATAAATGATTTTAACAATGGAAGTGATACTTTATCAAATTAGCATTATACATTATGACTATATATGTATGTTAGAGGACTGGACAATGTACCAACTCGCCATTGGTGTACTCATCAGATGTCTCATCTGTAGTGGTGGCGAAAAATGTCTCACCTGTGGTAATACTGACAGGAAGTGACTCGCCTGTAGCGGTATAGATCAATATTGTCTCACCTGTGGTAATACTGACAGGAATTGACTCATCTGTGGTAATACTGACAGGAAGTGACTCTCCTGTAGTGGTACTGACAAGAAGTGTCTAACCTGTAGTGGTACAGATCAATATTGTCTCACCTGTGGTAATACTGACAGGAAGTGACTCATCTGTAGTGGTACAAATCAATATTGTCTCACCTGTGGTAATACGGACAGGAATTGACTCATCTGTGGTAATACTGACAGGAAGTGACTCTCTTGTAGTGGTATTTACAGGAAGTACCTAACCTGTAGTGGTACAGATCAATATTGTCTCACCTGTGGCAATACTGACAGGAAGTGACTCACCTGTGGTAATACTGACAGGAAGTGACTCACCTGTGATAATACTGACAGGAAGTGTCTCACCTGTGGTGGTATTGACAGGAAGTGTCTTACCTGTGATGGTATTGACAGAGGTGTTTCACCTGTGGTGGTATTGACAGGAAGTGTCTCACCTGTGGTGGTATTGACAGGAAGTGCCTCACCTGTTGTAGAACATACAGGAAACATATTGCATGTTGTGCTAATTTACTTCATTTACCATACTTTATTTGAGAAATTCTACGCTGGCAAAAAAGTCCTCTGATCACATTATTTTAGTTATTTAAATAAAGTAGGTCATTGTTAGCCTTTATCACAGGTAAAGCAGTGTGTCACAATACAGATATAACTAATAAACGCCATTCAAAACATACTGGTCCAAGTTTATATATATAAAATACATAATAAATTGCAGTGTATAGTTTTATATGTATAAGTTAAGACTTCCTTTGTAATTAAAAAACATGAACTGCCAGATCATCTCAGTTAGGACTGCTGAGGGCAGCCAACAAACTGGTAGGGAAGGACATACACAATCTATTACATTGGTTCATATTTATTATGAACAAGTCTTTGTGTAGTATTCAATAAATGCAAACCGTTTTAAATTATAAACTTCTTTTTCCAGTTTACTATGTACACACAGAAGTAACTGAAATCACCTACACACAAATATCAATAAAGGCTGAACTGAAGAAACAAATGGCACAAATAAGTATGAGATACCATGATTATCACATTGCTTGTAGAGGACACCAGCACACGAGGGTCCACAGTAAAATGTACATACGTTCCATAATACAACAACACACATATACTCCATAATAACAGACAAACTAGCTTCATACATACAACCATTATACTGTAGCCTTTACATCATTATCAATTTTAAATCAACTTTTCAATACTTACCTTTTATTTAAAATTTAACAATCATTGGCCTTATTTAAAAACTTTTCAATAACAGAACATACCTGCCAACCCCGGATATATTCTTTAAGAGTCATTGTAAAATTGTCACCAATTGTCACAATAAATGACCTATCATCAAACTCCATGTTGTATCCACAATTAAATTGATTCTGTCTTCACATATAAAAACATATTTTCTCATTTTAAAGAAGAACCATGCAGAAGCAGGCTCATACGCAGTATTATTTTCCTTTAGAAGCAAGGATAGACTGGATTTCATGAAGATCACCAGGCAAAACTTAAGCAATGCCGTCTCTATTAATTAAAGCTAAATTTCTTTTTAATTAACTTATATCCATTCATACCAATTTAGTTTTCTTTAAATATTACAAGTAAACAAAATTGTAAATGCATGTATCTAATGTTTTTATAATATTTTTTTACAGTACAGTACCTGACAAAATTACTGATATATTTTTATTTAGGGTTATCTCCCCTATCTCATGTAGGATAATGTGAATAGAGATCAAATTCAACAATTTCATAGAGAGGAACTTTCCTGTCTAGAAAAAAACATGATATTTATTTGTTTAGTTTACATGGTAAGTAAATGCCATAAACTTACATTTTGCTGGATTTTAAAATCATTGAGAAACAAATATTTCTTTGTGTTAAAGAATCACAAATAACAAAATAAGAGAAGTACACAACATTTCATTCATGCAAACATCATCTGTGACCCATTTCATTCAAAAGAACAACACCTTAATGAAATCAAACACTCATTGCATTCTATCCATTCTCACATATCCACAGATCCATTGTTTCTGCTGACTAGACAGCAGAGACCTACATCCTATCTGACATCACACTAGTTAGATAATAATGATCCAATGGGTTGTAACAGTATGTGTAGGAAGCACTAACAGAAGAGTGGTCAACATACATTATTTTAACTTGTAAAATTTCTTCATCAAAGCTAATTCAGATTTGTTTTAATGGTGATCAAATTAATTCTATTCGATAATTTAATTTACATAACAGTTAAATACATTTTTTTTTGTATTTTTCAAAATTTCATTTGCCAAAGCATGACATTAGTTCTAACATCAGCCCTAAGCCTTATGGATACACGAGTACAAGTCAGCTGAAGTCTCCACACGACCTCTGTCTGTCTGTCTAAGCTGCCACAGAAGAAAGCCTAATGCTTGGTCTGATCTAATGAGTGACTAGTGCTAATTGTTTTGCCATTAGGTAACCTCCACATGGATAAGATCAGGTAACTGATGATAATAATAAACACTAATGGTTATGCTAGCACCACAAACTTCCTTTTACGCGAGCTGGCCAATCTCTTCCTAGTTGGTCAGTGTCTGGTGATATTTGAGTATATTACTAAGAAACAAAATTATCCATCACTCCAGATGTCCGAAAGACCTTCAAACAAGACCTTTTTTCCATCAACATTGCATGTCCAGTCTAGTTCAGTCATGACCAGTGTAGCAACAGGTCCCTCCTGGCACTGACCCTGTACCTGGATACTGTTTTGGTTAGTGCAAGTTAGTCACACAGTGATCCTGACCTATGCCCTATACTGGTACGCCATTGCCTTTGTCTACAAATACTGTGTTTTGTAGCGGCTCAAGCTGCTCGTTGTTAATGGAACCATCCTTCTTTAGGGTTGATGATGCACTTTCAGATTCCTAAAGAACAAAAATAAAAAAATTATCAAGAAGCTGACTGTACGGTATTGCTAGTATTATCACTACACAGATCACTACACAGTTCACTACACAGTTCACTATACAGTTCACTATACAGATCACTATACAGATCACTACACAGTTCACTACACAGATCTGTGTAGTGAACTGTGTAGAGAACTATGTAGTGAACTGTGTGGTGAACTATGTGGTGAACTGTGTAGGGATCTGTGTAGTGAACTACACAGATCACTACCCAGTTCCCTCCACAGATCACTCCCCAGTTCACTACACAGATCACTACACAGTTCACTACACAGATCACTATACACAGTTCACTACATAGTTCACTACACAGTTCACTACACAGATCACTACACAGTTCACTACACAGTTCACTATACAGATCACTATACAGATCACTACACAGTTCACTACACAGTTCACTACACAGATCACTACACAGTTCACCACACAGTTCACCACACAGTTCACTACATTGTTCACTACACAGATCACTACACAGATCACTACACAGTTCACTACACAGATCACTACAAAGTTCACTACACAGATCACTACACAGATCACTATACACAGTTCACTACATAGTTCAAAACACAGTTCACTACACAAATCACTACACAGATCACTAACAGAATATCTTCCCCTACCTTGAAGGTGTGACAGAGAAATCTCCAACCTGAGAGGTGATTTTTTTTCGGTTGTCTAACCTGCGGCTCTGCCAAAGGGTTAGACAACAGAATAGTCACCTGCGGGGTCGGAGATTTCACTGTTACAATCTAAGTTATGGAATGATCATTTTTCTCCCATCATTCCAGTACAATGTTTAACAAACAAACAAGTTTCAGCATTTATAATCTAAACAGTTTACTACACTGTTAACTATTCTATCTCTAATCTCTACACAGTTCACTATTCTATCTCTACACCATTCACTATTCTATCTCTACACAGTTCACTATTCTCATCTCTACACAGTTAACTATTCTATCTCTACACAGTTCACTATTCTGTCTCTATACAGTTCACTATTCTATCTCTACACTGTTCACTTTTCTATCTCTACATAGTTTACTATCCTATCTCTACATAGTTTACGATTCTATCTCTATACAGTTCTCTATTCTATCTCTACTCAGTTCACTATTCTGTCTCTATACAGTTCACTTTTCTATCTCTACACAGTTTACTGTTCTATCTCTACACAGTGCACTATTCTATCTCTTCACAGTTTATTATTCTATCTCTATAAAGTTCACTATTCTATCTATACAGTTCACTTTTCTATCTCTACACTGTTCAATATTCTATCTCTACACCGTTTACTACACAGTTCACTATCCTACCTCTATACAGTTCTCTATTCTATCTCTACATAATTTACTATTCTATCTCTATGCAGTTCACTATTCTACCTCTACACAGTTTACTGTTCTATCTCTACACAGTGCACTATTCTATCTCTTCACAGTTTATTATTCTATCTCTACACATTTCACTATTCTATCTCTGCACTGTTCAATATTCAATCTCTACATAGTTTACGATTCTATCTCTATACAGTTCCCTATTCTGTCTCTATACAGGTCACTATTCTATCTCTTCACAGTTTATTATTCTATCTCTATACAGTACACTATTCTATCTCTACACAGTTCCCTATTCTGTCTCTATACAGTTCACTTTTCTATATCTACACAGTTCACTATCCTACCTCTATACAGTTCTCTATTCTATCTCTACTCAGTTCACTATTCTTTCTCTACACCGTTCACTATTCTATCTCTTCACAGTTTATTATTCTATCTCTACATAGTTTAATATTCTATCTCTACCCTGTTCACTATTCTATCGCTACACAGTTCACTATTCTGTCTCTATACAGGTCACTATTCTATCTCTGCACTGTTCAATATTCAATCTCTACATAGTTTACTATCCTATCTCTACCCTCTTCACTATCCTATCTCTACATAGTTTACTATCCTATCTCTATATAGTACACTATTCTATCTCTTTACAGTTCACTATTCCATCTCTACACTGTTTAATATTCTATCTCTACACGGTTTACTATTCTATCTCTCCACAGTTCACTATTCTGTCTCTATACAGGTCACTATTCTATCTCTTCACAGTTTATTATTCTATCTCTATATAGTACACTATGCTATCTCTATACAGTTCTCTATTCTATCTCTACATAGTTTACGATTCTATCTCTATACATTTCACTATTCTATCTATACAGTTCACTTTTCTATCTCTATACAGTTTACTATTCTATGACTATATAGTACACTATTCTATCTCTGCACTGTTCAATATTCTATCTCTACCTAGTTTACTATTCTATATCTCCACAGTTTACTTTTCTATCTCTACACTGTTCAATATTCAATCTCTACATAGTTTACGATTCTATCTCTATACAGTTCACTTTTCTATCTCTATACAGTACACTATTCTATCTCTATGCAGTTCACTATTCTATCTCTACACCATTCAGTATTCTATCTCTACACAGTTTACTATTCTATCTCTCCACAGTTTACTTTTCTATCTCTATACAGTTCACTATTCTATCTCTATACAGTTCACTATTCTATCTCTACACCGTTCAATATTCTATCTCTACATAGTTTACTATTCTATCTCTACACAGTTCACTATTCTCATCTCTACACAATTTACTATTCTATCTCTATACAGTTCACTATTCTATCTCTACACTGTTCACTATTCTATCTCTACACAGTTTACTATTCTATCTCTACATAGTTAACTATTCTATCTCTACACAGTTTACTATTCTATCTCTACACAGTTTACTATTCTATCTCTATACAGTTCACTATTCCATCTCTACACTGTTCAATATTCTATCTCTACATAGTTTACTATTCTATCTCTATATAGTTCACTATTCTATCTCTACACAGTTCACTATTCTATCTCTACACAGTTCACTATTCTATCTCTACACCATTCACTATTCTATCTCTACACAGTTTACTATTCTATCTCTTCACAGTTTACTATTCTATCTCTATACAGTTCACTATTCTATCTCTATACAGTTCACTATTCTATCTCTACACCGTTCAATATTCTATCTCTACATAGTTTACTATTCTATCTCTACACAGTTCACTATTCTCATCTCTACACAATTTACTATTCTATCTCTATACAGTTCACTATTCTATCTCTACACTGTTCACTATTCTATCTCTACACAGTTTACTATTCTATCTCTACATAGTTAACTATTCTATCTCTACACAGTTTACTATTCTATCTCTACACAGTTTACTATTCTATCTCTATACAGTTCACTATTCCATCTCTACACTGTTCAATATTCTATCTCTACATAGTTTACTATTCTATCTCTATATAGTTCACTATTCTATCTCTACAGTTAACTATTCTATCTCTACACAGTTTACTATTCTATCTCTATATAGTTCACTATTCTATCTCTACACAGTTAACTATTCTATCTCTTCACAGTTTACTATTCTATCTCTATATAGTTCACTATTCTATCTCTATACAGTTCACTATTCTATCTCTACACCATTCACTATTCTATCTCTATATAGTTCACTATTCTATCTCTACACAGTTAACTATTCTATCTCTACACCGTTCACTATTCTATCTCTACACAGTTTACTATTCTATCTCTACACAGTTTACTATTCTATCTCTATACAGTTCACTATTCTATCTCTATATAGTTCACTATTCTATCTCTACACATTTTACTATTCTATCTCTATACAGTTCACTATTCTATCTCTACACAGTTCACTATTCTATCTCTACACAGTTTACTATTCTATCTCTATATAGTTCACTATTCTATCTCTACACAGTTCACTATTCTATCTCTACACAGTTAACTATTCTATCTCTACACTGTTCACTACTCTGTCACTTCAGATCTATACATTTAACTACACATATCACTACAGTATTACATCACATGCAGTTCACTATAGTATTACTATACAGTTCACAATAACATAGAAATGTTGTTTCAAACAAAATTCAAATACAAACAGTTGGTTATTTTTTCCCAAAGCCTTCAGCATAATAAAGAGCTCGACAAGGAATGTTACATGAATTTGAATGGTATGGGTTGTTTTTCCATTACATCCACAAGTTATTTTAAATAATTTCTTGTACATGTATATAGTTCCTTGCACACAGCATGCTTTATAAAACACATCCCCTATACCACATGCAAACTAAGGAAAATAGTGGAAGTACATATACATCCTTGTTTCAATAACTACATTTATGGTAATGGTTAATAATATCACTTTGTTACAATAGTGTGATTTATGCAGCCAAAAATGTGTTGATAATGCAATAAAATATTGTTAACAAGGGGGTCTTACATATGAAATTTGAGTAATTTGTTAAATACTTCTTGACAAATAGAGATAACAAGAACTGCTTAAGGACACACGGGACCACAGATGAAAGGTGATTTGAACAGTCCACTATCTGTTGATGGCGTGCTAAAATATTAACCACATCCCTTGTCAATAAGTTAGTTTGTCACCAGAATTACCAGAAGTTGGTAGGCTGACAGTTTTAAACAACATTCTGCTCTCATTACTGGTTAGAAGCATTCATAATTTATGTGGATCTTATTATAGTAGAAGCTGATATCACCATATTGAAATGGGTTCTTTTGCTGATCCACACTTCAAGGAGAGTTTAAAGGATATATAGACTGAATAAAGGCAAGAAAAAGGGGAATTCCTTACCAAAGAATTCATTTATTTCGAAAACAGTAAATTTCTTTATACATATATATATATATATATATAATAAAAAGTGATTAAATGTCCATGTGAAGGAAGTAAATATAGAAAAAATAAAATTAACGACCGACTAAAAAACTAGCTGCTTTCACCTATTTTTTCTCTCTATATATATATATATAAAGAAAACATTGAGAAGTCCTTGTGTTGGAATTAAATATAAAAAATAAAACAAAAGACAGAGAAATACAATTAGGCCTAGAGACGCTATCTCTGTCTTTTGTTTTATTTTTTATATATATATATATATTTATAATTTACATGTCAGTTAAGATTTTTAATCAAATCCATGTTAAGATCTCACACTTACACACTACAGGTAAGAATTTGTGCTGGTAATAAGCTAGGATAGTTAATCGGGAATGTTAAGCCAGTAGGAGCATCAGGAGGTGAAGCTGGAGGACCAGTTCTGTTGTTAATAGGACAAAGTGACCACAGTTATTGACACAAACTGTAATGAATAACTACTGTGCAGGGTAGACAAGATCAGAACTAAACTTAGCTATCACTTTCTATCAAAATGAGTATTAGAGTAGTGTCATTTTGAATAATGATAACCACTGGAAATATGCCTCTCAAAAGTGACTGCCATCTCGCTATTACCAGTAACTGCCGACAATGCAAGCTCTTACAAGATACTGATGATTAGCTCTCAAAAGTGACTACTGGACTAGCCCTTACAAGTGACTACTGGACTAGCCCTTACAAGTGACTACTGGACTAGCCCTTACAAGATACTGATGACTAGCTCTCAAAAGTGACTACTGGACTAGCCCTTACAAGTGACTGATGACTAGCTCTCAAAAGTGACTACTGGACTAGCCCTTACAAGTGACTTCAAACAAGCTCTCACAAGATACTGATGACTAGCTCTCAAAAGTGACTACTGGACTAGCCCTTACAAGTGACTTCAAACAAGCTCTCACAAGATACTGATGACTAGCTCTCAAAAGTGACTACTGGACTAGCCCTTACAAGTGACTGCCGACAAGCTCTCACAAGTGACAACCGACTAGCTCTCATAAACAACTACCGACTAGCTCTCATTAACAACTGCCGACTAGCTCTCACAAGTGACTACTGGATTAGCTCTCACTTGTAACTTAACTGACTACCAGGTAGCTATCATTATTATAAGTGACTTCTTAAATAGCTCCAACAAGTGACTGCTATTATTGAGTAACTTCCGACTACTTGTAGCTCTTTTAAGTGACTAGAGGATTAGCTATAGAGTTAGATGGTGACTAATGGACTAGTTCTTATGAGTGACTGCTGAATTAAGTGGCCATGAATTGCTAACTAGGTATCACAAGTGACTAGATGACTAGCTGCAGGGTTAGATGGTGTTAGTAGCTACTTGACTAGCTCTAAGGTTAGGTAGGTCTAGCTGTATTCGCACACCAAACAAGATATACTAAGACCAACCGTTTAGAACCCTGTGATTGGTCAGCTGGAGCTTTTTTCATTCACCATAGTTGTTAAAGGAATTGCCTCAGGTATCGGGCTTTGGCGACCCGTTGATGTCCAACCCTCACCACGCACCTGGGGAAAATACTGACAGTGTGGGACATAGTGACCATGTGGTATGGAAGCAATGCAAGTTGATAAAATTCTTACTCTTGAAATATCATGCTGTCCTCGTCATTACCATGAGAGATGATCCCAACTGCCATCAATGAACATGGCAACAAGATTGTATGTAGAAGTCTTATGGCAAATTTGAGTCATTGTAGAAACTACATGCATATTCCTGTTTGATATTGCTTGATGTTGTTTATTATCATCTATATATTACTTTATATCACCTAACGGTAGCATGATGAACTCATTATCATGGGTTGTCAGTATGAGAATACTCAAGAAGAGGTTGAGAGCGACTTGAGAAGAACTTGAGAATGAATTTTCCCATTTCCCAGCATTTGGGAATGATTTTTTTCAAAAAAGAATGTCTGCTTGCGCCATGTTATGTCCTAAACCGGATGTAGTATCCACACAAAAGTGATCCGCGTAAGAAAATAGTCCGTCATAAACAAATCAATATAATATAGGGTTGTTTTAAAAATATTTTTCTTCATAGATTTTAAGGTTCACTGTATTCCTTCGCGCAAATCATCTATTTTGTTTACGTTTTTCACAGACAGAGGATTTGCGATCAATGACCATTGAGCTTATATAAGAAGTCATTTGGAAAATACGGTGTTTAGTTGACATTTTTAAAAGTAGTTAATACAGCTGATCAACATTTTTTCACACAATATTTTCAGGGTTTGTTGAGAGGACCATTTTCGCATTGCTTGCACATGGATAAAATCTCCAGTCCACCTACGACGAGAAAATTGTTCTTATGACAAACCTTGACAAACACAGAGTGGTAATCTTAAAACATCTTCACATCCCGCTAAACATAACAAAAAAAGCACAAGCATTGAAACATATGAAATACAGACGAAATGCCAGCTGGTACAGATAACCCAAAAAGCTCTAAACCCTGTGATGGCAGTTGAATATATTACTTGCAACAATGTATCTTTAGTATGATTACTAATGAGTAAAGATCTTGGATGCTACATGAACTCCCATACATTCTGTCTGTCGGTGTTGCTCCTTTATTGTAGTTTCTTTTGTCAGGGTGGCACATAATTTATTCTTGATATTGTTTGCTGTTGTTGAGACAACAAGAACAGATTTGTCCCTATATATACAGATATGATCCTTTACATACTTAGGTTACAAGTCTAGCATACTTACTGATGGTGAACCGTTTGATCTCATTGGATCCTGATCATGAAGTTTTTCCTTGTCTTTAGCTTTCTCGCTGCTTTTCTTTCTTAAGTACCTGTTTATATTGTTAATGAAGCAGATCAGGTTTGCATTGTTTCTCTCATTTAAGCTATAGACATTGAGATACAGTAACATCGAATGATAATTAAATACAAAGGCAATCTTCTTAAAAAACTTTTTAACAAAACAATTTGTTGTACATTTGTCTAACATTAATATGTGTATACATATATCCATCAAATTTGAAAAACAACAGCAGACAAGTATAATGACCTAAGCTGTTAAAAGGACATTCAACCCTATAAAATCAAATCAAGTAGACACATACTTTACGTTTCATCTTCACATTATCACCTACAATGACCCACAATACCAGACTTTCCTGTATTGGAGGTGTCATATGACTGTACTTACCTTTTCCTCCATATCGCAATGAAAATAAGAACGGTGACAAACAGGACCCCAGCTACAGTCAGGACCGCCACTCCCGCAGTGGCTATTCTGTCCTTCCCCTCCTCTGAAACAGTACATGATCCCCATTATCAATGAACATGTGGTAACTATTCCAATTAAAGTGACACATAATATTTTGTTACAAACAACTTTTGTATGAAATGTACAGTAATGCAGCACTAACGAATAGTGTTTGAAATTAGTGCGGTTTATAATTCTTTTGGTTCATGAAGAATTTTCTGAAGACCACTGATACAATGGAATGTCTGTTATCACTTGGCAACATAAGTTTGAGCTAGGACTGGACTATAAGCATTTAAAAAGGAAAAGTGGACAATAGACACGGTGTGGGTCACTGGGCCAGGACATAACTTCACTTTGCCCTAATTAGGGCCAGGTGAGCTAAATGTATTGCAATATTGGAAATTATTTTCTATACAACTCTTCTCAAAATGTAACAAACTGATTTTTAGCCTACCTTGACCACCAGGCTGAAAGTCGAACAGTTCACATCTTTTCCCAATATAATCCGATGGACAGCTTTGAGGAGAAGGAAAACAGTCATGACATTAATTTGCAGTTATCTCCCTTAACATGGAAAATGCATACACATACTAAAAGAGCGTAATAAAAGCCTTAACATCACATCAATTCTCCCTTTAATGTGCTTCAGTATGTTGTATATTTCCCACTAAAATCAAAGTGATAATATTATACATCTAATAACATTATAAGAATACAGCAGCTACACATCATAGCAAAAAAACCACAGCAGTTATAGCAGTTATATATTGGAGTGGGTATAGGAATGACATAGCCAAAACACAGCAGTTATAGCAGTTATATATTTGAGTGGGTATAGCAATGACATAGCCAAAACACAGCAGTTATCGCAGTTATATATTGGAGTGGGTATAGCAATGACATAGCCAAAACAGAGCAGTTATAGCAGTTATATATTGGAGTGGGGATAAGAATGACATAGCCAAAACACAGCAGTGATAGCAGTTATATATTGGAGTGGGTATAGCAATGACATAGCCAAAACACAGCCGTTATAGAAGTTATATATTGGAGTGGGGATAAGAATGACATAGCCAAAACACAGCAGTGATAGCAGTTATATATTGGAGTGGGTATAGCAATGACATAGCAAAAACACAGCAGTTATAGCAGTTATATATTTGAGTGGGTATAGCAATGACATAGCCAAAAAACAGCAGTTATAGCAGTTATATATTGGAGTGGGTATAGCAATGACATTGCCAAAACACAGCAGTTATATATCAAGGGGCAATGTTCGGGTGGGTATGGAACTTAAACTAGAGCATCATTTTTGTATTGTCTAATGAAAGGGGGACACAGTCTGTCAAGAAGATACAAGAGAAGAACAATGACATGGGAGTAACAATGACATGGGAGTAACAAGAGTAATTGTTTGCTTAAACTTACTGGCAATTAAGTAACCTTATGGAGTCGATGACAACCACGAAGCACTTTCCCCCGTTGAGGCATCCTTGGGTAAAGTACTCATCGTTTGTACAGTTATCTCGATGTTCCTCTGCGTTCTCAGGGGGGGTTATCACAGTTACGTCCTCTTCTCCCTGGGGCTTAGTCACCGGAGTTCTGCCACACCCCTCTACAACCAGAATGTAAACTATTAAACACAATTGGAGTAAATAGTAAACACACCTGTCTTGCAAGAGTATGAATCAGTAAAATAGTGTGACCTTACAAATAAACATACCATAATACCATCATTTCCAGTCACTTACCATATAATGTTTTACAAAGACTATTTTGCAGTTTTTCTTAATTCTCTTATAAATCCCTCTAGCTTTTAATTGCCACTAGACTAATGGCGACAATATAATGGTTTTATTTCACTCAATTTGATTTTTTGGGGTTTAATGTCCTTGTAACAACCAGGGTCATATGAGGAAGGCTATTTCACTTGAATGGATTTAAAAAAAAAGTGCAATGGAATATATAACAATAAATCATCATTTAACTCAGTTTCAAAGTGCTTTCTACTTTTCTACTTTAAATACCTTTATTAGTCAGTAGTCTTTATTTTTGATCTCCGTAACAGAAGGACAAAACTGTTAATATGTACATGTAACAGTCATTACCAGCTCTATCAGCCTACAAACTGCATTAGTCTATCGATACTTCAATCAGCTTCCCAGTACATGTACATGTACTGCCATCAGCCATAATAACCTTGTGCTTTTATCAACATCCCCCCCCTCCCCACCATACAGGAAAGCTTGAAAGTGTTAGTGGTTTTGACCTTCAAATTAATTCAGTTCATTTCAAGCTACATCCGTCCACAGGGAAGGTCTCCTTGACCAGACCCTGTATCTGGCTGGATGACCATTGTGTCTTTGTTTCCATGTGTCACACAGGATATTGCATTGATGACCAGAAGAAATTGAAATGTTATGTGTGACCAGTTGACCACTATAGAGAATGGACAAATTGGGTTGGGGATAGCATGACAGGTAGTGAAGTGTGTGTGATCTAACAAAGGCACCTCTATTAAACCAATCAAGGATGTGTGGAATGGTTTATTTATAGGGGATGTGAAGCATATAATGTGTGCTGACATGAAAGGGACCATCACAGTATACATGTCTGGGGGCAATCACTACCAGCATGGAGGCCAAACAGGTCATTCACAACTCCAGACAGGAGATCTAGAGAAGGGCCCCCAATAGTTCTAAACAGGCTATACAGACAGTTGATGGTAGTTCAGGATGTTGAGATGGCTACAACATCCTGAATACTGCTACATGTGTAGTGAAAAATCACTGAATCAAGCCTAATAAGGTCACTTCACTACATGCTGTACTTTGACTTTTAGATCTTGGAACCAGCTTGGGGTCAGAAGCTGACGTAAAGTACAATACATCTAGCGAGGTCCTTTGCACATGTACAGTACAGTACAATATGGGTACTGATGATCATGACAGGTCTTGGAACATGTACACTACAATGTGGGTACTCACATAAACAAGATACTGACAGGTCTTGGTACATGTACACTACAATGTGGGTACTCTCATACACAAGGTACTGACAGGTCTTGGTACATGTACAATACAATGTGGGAACTCTCACATACACAAGGTACTGACAGGTCTTGGTATATGCACACTACAATGTGGGTACTCACATAAACAAGGTACTGACCGGTCTTGGTACATGCACACTACAATGTGGGTACTCTCACATACACAAGGTACTGACAGGTCTTGGTATATGTACACTACAATGTGGGTACTCACATAAACAAGGAACTGACAGGTCTTGGTACATGTACACTACAATGTGGGGACTCTCACATAAACATGGTACTGACAGATCTTGGTATATGTACAATACAATGTGGGTACTCACATACACAAGGTACTGGCAGGTCTTGGTACATGTACACTACAATGTGGGTGCTCACATAAACAAGGTACTGACAGGTCTTGGTACATGCATGCTACAATGTGGGTACTCACATACACAAGGTACTGGCAGGTCTTGGTACATGTACACTACAATGTGGGTACTCTCATACACAAGGTACTGACAGGTCTTGGTACATGTACAATACAATGTCGGTACTCACATACACAAGGTACTGACAGGTCTTGGTACATGTACAATTCAATGTGGGAACTCTCACATACACAAGGTACTGACAGGTCTTGGTATATGCACACTACAATGTGGGTACTTACATAAACAAGGTACTGACAGGTCTTGGTACATGTACAATACAATGTGGGTACTCACATAAACAAGGTACTGACAGGTCTTGGTGCATGTACACTACAATGTGGGTACTCTCACATAAACATGGTACTGACAGATCTTGGTACATGTACACTACAATGTGGGAACTCTCACATGAACATGGTACTGACAGGTCTTGGTACATGTACACTACAATGTGGGTACTCACATAAACAAGGTACTGACAGGTCTTGGTACATGCATGCTACAATGTGGGTACTCACATACACAAGGTACTGACAGGTCTTGGTACATGTACACTACAATGTGGGTACTCACATACACAAGGTACTGACAGGTCTTGGTACATGTACAATACAATGTGGGTACTCACATAAACAAGGTACTGACAGGTCTTGGTATATGTACAATACAATGTGGGTACTCACATACCAAAGGTTACTGACAGGTCTTGGTACATGCACACTACAATGTGGGTACTCTCACATACACAAGGTACTGACAGGTCTTGGTACATGTACTTTACAATGTGGATACTCGCATACACAAGGTACTGACAGGTCTTGGTACATGTACAATACAATGTGGGTACTCTCACATAAACAAGATACTGACAGATCTTGGTACATGTACAATACAATGTGGGTACTCACATACACAAGGTACTGACAGGTCTTGGTACATGTACACTACAATGTGGGTACTCACATACACAAGGTACTGACAGGTCTTGGTATATGTACAATACAATGTGGGTACTCACATAAACAAGGTACTGACAGGTCTTGGTACATGTACACTACAATGTGGGTACTCACATAAACAAGGTACTGACAGGTCTTGGTACATGTACAATACAATGTGGGTACTCACATACACAAGGTACTGACAGGTCTTGGTACATGTACACTACAATGTGGGTACTCACATAAACAAGGTACTGACAGGTCTTGGTACATGTACAATACAATGTGGGTACTCACATACACAAGGTACTGACAGGTCTTGGTACATGTACACTACAATGTGGGTACTCACATAAACAAGGTACTGACAGGTCTTGGTACATGTACAATACAATGTGGGTACTCACATACACAAGGTACTGACAGGTCTTGGTACATGTACACTACAATGTGGGTACTCACATAAACAAGGTACTGACAGGTCTTGGTACATGTACAATACAATGTGGGTACTCACATACACAAGGTTACTGACAGGTCTTGGTACATGTACACTACAATGTGGGTACTCACATACCAAAGGTTACTGACAGGTCTTGGTACATGTACAATACAATGTGGGTACTCACATACACAAGGTACGGACAGGTCTTGGTACATGTACACTACAATGTGGGTACTCTCACATAAACAAGGTACTGATGTACAGGTCTTGGTACATTACTTCAATTTTGGGGTATACACAATGTATATAATGTACTGCAGGTCCATGTAAGTACATATGCATTAAAATGTGGGTTCATCATTTTGGATTCTATTCTAGCAAATTTCCCAAACAATTTACAAAAACACTACAGAATTTCCAGTATACCTAATGCCTTTATACGGGGAAGATTTAAGTGTTTTGTTCAGAATCTACATCAGCTGTAATAAATTCAGCAGTATACCTCCATACCATGATACTGGGTGACTTTTACAATCAAATTAAACTGTGTCTTATTGCTCTCCGCAGGGAAAACCTAAATACATGGACAAGAATAAAAGTGTAGGCCCAGACTTACTACTACACATTATGAAATTAGATTCCGAGTTACACCAAATCTAATACCTGCTTTTTAATGTACTACAAACGCTTTGCAGATGCAGCCTTAATATTGGGCGACAAAAAGAGCGGCAGCGGCAGCACCAGCGTTTGATTGGAAGTGTATTGACTTTTGTCTGATGAAGCCATTACTGTAATGTCACATGACCAGGTGTACACACCCAACACATGACACGCCTCACATCAGTAGGTCACTAACCCAACAGCTCCACAGTTTTTTTACTTAATCTGAGGGGCAAAATCTCCAATATAATAGTTCTGAAGTCGTATTTTATTATATTTAAGTAGATAATGCTGTTTCTCAGGGTTTGTTTACAACAATAGACACCAGCTCACATAGCCTTACACAGGCTTAGTAGAAACCTGTCAAGTGTTTCTGTCTAGGACCTTTAACATAAAAATACATGTTTGGTAGACAACATGAAATTTCCGTGGGTATTTTTCTTTCCTGGTTTAAAGCCATGTAGATTGTTACATGGTACAAACTATATTAACAAACAGGTGTCAAGGATATAAATCAAATCAGCTGTATTTATTTTCATGGTTCCATAGCAACCATCATGAAAACCATGAATGTTTTTACAGTGAACATATATGTTATACAGTAGGAAAACTGACTCTATATAAGTCAAGTACAATAAATGACAACCACCTGATTTAAGCTCAAGTACAACTGATGTCGACAACTTTGAGTTCAGCACAACATATGACAGCCACCTCTATCACTACATGTACAGATAGCAAAAGTACAACATTTTTTAGATCAGAGTATTTCAAAGGTTTATAAGTTACAATTGTACAGTATGTGATAATTACCTCTTTAACCTAAGCACAACACAAAAACACCTCCATAGGTCAAGTACAACATTTGACAACCATTTCTCTATAGGTCAAGTACAGCATATGAAAACCACTTCTCTATAGGTCAAGTACAACGCAAAAACACCTCCATATGTCAAGTACAACATATGACAACCACTTCTCTATAGGTCAAGTACAGCATATGAAAACCACTTCTCTATAAGGTCAAGTACAACATATGACAACCACTATTCTATAGGTCAAGTACAACATATGACAACCACTTCTCTATAGGTCAAG